TGGTCGAGCCTGTCGACAAGAGCTACGTCCAAAACTTTTTCGGCGATCGACCAGGGCTGGCTTGTGCATACGTACTTTTTTATCAGGAAACAACGCTAGAAGCTGTGAAGAGAGAACAGGACGCCGAGAGCTTGGCAGCTGCTGCCAAAGCGGTTGTGGAAATACCGAAAGAACCCGTGGGACTAGGCCTCAAGACCAATGGCTTCATGAACGGTATCCAGCATGTAAAGAGCGCCGTGACGCCAACGTCAGATGAGGATACGAATGGGTACGCAAGCCTCGACAAGGCAGTCACGGAGCCTCCACAACCAATAAAATTATCCACATCGCCGTCCGAAGTCACCGCACTGCCCCAAGTACCATCACGAACACCAAACGAAGACATCAAGTCGAAAAAGGAGCGACTCAAGGAAGAAAAGGAACGAAAAGCAGTGGCCAAAATTACCGGGAGACAAGAAGAGAAAGCTGAACGGGAACGGTTAAAGAGCCTCGAAGTCAAGCGGAAGGAGGGAATGAAGAAGGCGGACGCAGATACGAAAGCCGCCATACAAGCTAGCAAAGCGTCGAAGGCGGAAGAGGATCAGCGTGTCGCTGCGGAGAGTGGCAACAAAGACGGTGTTTCTACCCCTGTTCCTATCCCCACAGGAGGCCTAAGCAGGTTCAAGTCGAGTAGCAAAAGCTTCCGCAAGTCGAAATTATTTGGGGGCTCCAGGGAATCTAGCAAAGATGAGCCATTCGCAGAGGAAAATGGCGCAGAGGCGACGACACCGACCGATAAATCAAGGAACCGGTTTAGCAGCTTGAGAAAGAAGACTTCTAATATGATGTTGTAATACTAATCAACACTTGAAAAAGGGGGGCCCTTTTCTTCACATCTACCGCATGTACAGTTCTTGTCTGCTGTTAGATTGAGCCATGCATTTACATCATGATACCACTGGGTGGAGTTTGGTGAATGTGAGGCACACCGAATATAGGAAATATTATGGCAATGGATGACAAAAGTTGGATATGCTGAATCTACCGGATAGATATCTTCATTTTGGCAGACACTTCTGCAGAAGACGTCTCCCGTCTCATTGTGGATTCAACATGAGAAAGCAACTTTCGGTCTAGACATGGTTGTACAATACATACATTCAAACACACACTTTGTCGCGAAGCGAAAATGTCTTCCACGAATGTCTGCCTGATACCGTCATAGCTCATGATAGCATCTATTCCAAAGACCAAGGATGTCGACTGTTGCCTCTCGATTATCGCCTCATACTCTGGCACAGAAGTCGTCTTAGTGGGTATCTCAAACTTTCTCCTGGCTCTAGCTTCCCAGGACGGTCGCCCCCTTGCTCAACAGCTCACCCAAGCACGAGCTCGTAGACTATCACTAGGGTATTGATCACTATCAGCGGTACTAGATCGCACAAGCACTCGTTAGCATGATTTCCATTCGTTCGTTCAAATCACGCCCAGCATCATAAACCGACAACAGTCTTCCAACGAGTTCCTCCCTTGTACCTACTTCCGCCCCAAAAGACAAACATAACTAGCATCCCAGAACATCACCCCTGAGCCACGAAAGATACGTATCATGGAGGCAGACTTACTCCTCATGAGCGTCCGGACACTACTGATCAGATTAATCATTTTCCCCTTCACGCTCGCGGCATCACTGGAACCGCCGAAGGATGGTTCGGTGGGTGCGTTACCCCATCCAACTGCCCTTCATCAGCCACCTCCATTTCCCAGCACGCAATCACCACCCACGGCCAATGGAATGCTTACTGCGCGCAAGGAATCTGTCCTCTGATAATACGGCGACGGCGTTCACGAGGAGGATTGACACTGCGAATACGGTGAGCTTTGGCCATGACCCGTCTGGGGAATGACCGGACATACCATAGAAGAGGTTGCCCAAGCCGAAAAGCATCATTTCGATGCTGGAAGGGAGTGTGAGGCGGCTTGGAGGAAAGATTGGAAGCTCGCGCGTATTTGTTTGGCCTCTGCGGAGAAAGTGCAGCTATGCCTTGCAGGGCTGACAGGGGTGGGCGCGATGCCAAGACTGGGGAGCTCCGCGCGTATCGATGTCGACAACCCCCGTAGCTAGCTGTCTGTCCATAATGATAAGCAAAGCTACGAGCATTGGCCGCAATGCGGCATCTCATAGGTATGCAACCATCGACGAATGGCCCACGTACCTCTATAGCAGCAATGTCAAGCTGACTCAATAAGCAGATACACTCCTCTCCCTCCTCATCCCATCCGTCATCCTCATCCACCTCTTTCTCGCGCCCTACACTAAAGTCGAGGAGTCTTTCAACATACAAGCTACTCACGACATCCTGACTTACGGCATACCGTGGGGCACGACATGGGAGCATACAGGCTTATGGCTGCGAGAGCACTATGACCATCTTACGTTCACGGGCTCGGTGCCGAGGACTTTCGTCGGCCCGTTGTCATTGGCGGGAGTGAGTTGGCCCTTTCTGCGCTTCGGAGCCGGTCATGGTGGAGAGGTCAGGGGACAGTTGGTCGGTGAGTCTCAAGTCGGGATGTGAATGGTTAGGGAGGCCTATGGCGAAGTCTTGGGCCAGAGAAGCAACGGGGAATAGCAGAGGCTAATCGTTGATCCGTGTAGTTAGAACTGTGCTTGGACTATATAACGCCTGCTGCTTGATGGTGTTCCGCAATGGAGTTGCCAGAGCTTTTGGCAGAAATGCTGCGAATTGGTATACCGTATTCCAGGCAAGCCAGTTCCATATGATGTATTATGCGTCGAGAACGTTGCCAAATTTCTTTGCTTTCGGATTGAGTGAGTACATGAACCTCTAGAGATCGGCGGAGCATTCTGACCGCCATCAGCAACTTTGGCCATGCGCAATCTCCTCCCTCATGCAGTTGGAAGTCCGGCTGCTCGATCAAGCAGGCGACGGCAGGAACTCGCTCTTACTCTCCTCACCATTGCTGGCACTGTCTTCCGCTCCGAGATCGCCGTCCTCCTCGCATCTCAGACTCTCTACTTGTATTTTCGACCATACGTCCGCCTCCCAATCCTTTCAATCATTCCAGCCGGCCTTCTGGGTGCGTTCATCGGTCTCACCCTCACAGTCCCTGTCGACAGTTTCTTCTGGCAGCGCTGGCCACTCTGGCCCGAGCTGACCGGCTTCATCTACAACATCGTCGAAAAGCAATCTTCCAACTGGGGCACTTCTCCATGGCATTTCTACTTCACCTCGGCCCTCCCACGCCTCCTGTTCAATCCGTTTCTCTATCAGATCTGTCTTCCCTTTACTCTCAGCATATCGATCCTGCGCCGTCAGGCCCTCGACATCCTCCTCCCGAATCTACTCTTTGTGGCGGTTTACAGCTCCCAGCCGCACAAAGAGTGGCGCTTCATCATCTACATCATCCCGTCTTTTCTCGCCGTTGCCTCGGCAGGCGCAAGCTGGATTTGGACGCGCCGCGCAAAATCGTTCGTTTACCGCGTGCTCTCCCTTGCCCTGGTTGCATCCACGCTTGCGTCTTTCATGGCGAGTTTGGGTATGCTAGCTGTCTCCCGTCTCAACTACCCTGGTGCTGAAGCGTTGAATCGCTTGCATGCACTTGCAGGTAACGATACTGGGGTAGTGAAGGTGCATATGGACACGCTGGCTTGTATGACTGGCGTGACAAGATTTATGGAACGCGCGCCGCCTGTGTTGGCCGATGCGCAGGGTGCATTTTGGGTGTATGATAAGACAGAAGAAGAAGAGAAGCTACTGGATCCGCTATTTTGGGAGGGCTTTGATTATGCGCTTGCTGAGCGGCCTGAAAGGGTCATTGGGAGTTGGCATGTCTTGAGTACCGTGGAGGGTTACGCCGGGGTTGCGATCATGAGGCCTGATGAGGGTTGGGAACAGGCAATGGAGGATGTGCGCGCAGTGCAGAAACTGTGGACGGAGAGTCGGTGGAGAAAAGATGGGCTAGGAACGGCGAGGCAATGCGTGAGGGAGATGAGTCTGGGGAGATTGGAAAGTGTGACCAGGAAATTCGTCACGAAGGGGTGGTGGGTGAGGATGAAGATGGAGCCGAGGATTCGGATTTTGAAGAAGGCGGGAATGCCTGGGGGTACCCCCGTTGAGCCTGAGCAGGCTATGGAAGGCTGAAGAAGCATACAATTGCATCAACTGACACCTTCTTACCATGCCTCACTTCCGGCCAGCTCACCTCTCCCCGAAGCCTTGCACATATCGGCGTTGAAGCCTGCAACTTCATAATAAAAGCAGCAAAACAAGCGGACAAGCCAAACAAGAGACGCTCAAACGAAAACTCAGACTCGAACCAAGGCCTCCAGGACATATGGTAGAGGGCGTCAAGCAAGCCTCTCCCGCAGCACAGACCCCCAAGTGCAAGCATCCGTGACGACACCGGTGCCTGCTCTACTCTGCTGACACACGCGACGTGTAAACCACTGCACCGTTCGAGCTCTCATGGTTTTGGGACGCGGGTTCGATGTGGCATCTCAGGTGACGTAAATCCAGCATGATAGACAGACTAAGGCATCACTACATTTTCTCTCACTCTTTCTTTCTCTCTCTCTCTCTCTCGCGCTCTCTCTGGCTCAACAGTCCACAATCATCTCTCGATCGAGTTTTCCGAAACAAGGAGAGAAAGAAAGAAAAGAAAAAGGGGGGTGGGGGGCAAGCTTCCTCACGACTAACTTACCAACCGCCAGCCACAGAACCGCCGAATCCATCTCGCCACAAGAAATGAAAGAATTGGCCGCAAAGATCCAAAGCCACTGCTCTGGCACGAAGAGGAAGAAAAAACCACTGCTCAAACGCAGACTCGAATCGGAAGTCTCCCGGGATCCCTCCAGAGAGGGGCGATCGACCAGCTCCACAAAAGGGACGCTCAAATCCACTACACGCCTGCAGCACCGGTCAATTAGAAAGGAACAAATACAAGTGAAACTTTCAAGCTTACAGCTGCACTCCAGAGCCAGCTGACTGAGGAGTGTTCATCTACAATTCTTCCTTGCTCATGACCTTCCCCTCTTTCACCAGTCCAGGAGCAATCCACGGCCTCCCCGGCTGTCCATCGACCGGCAATTCGTTCAAGAATCCCCACTGACTCCTCTCTTTCCACCCCTTCTTCTTCCAGTCGTTGATCGTTCCGTTTGGAAACCAATCCACAACAGGAATCAACCCACCATCGTGCGCCACGCAAACAAAAACATTCTCATCCGCATCAAACACCTCCAAGCGCTTCACGCTCTTTTGTGCAGTTGGAGGATCGACGTACCAGCCTCCAGGCTCTTGCGTTACATTGTAGAATGCTGAAGTTCGCAGGTTCTCAGGGTCATGATGACTACCTGCAAAGAATGAACATGGACAAGGGCTAGGGAGACGACGATCCAGGGGGACAGAGGACGGGATGGTGCCGGGCATCGGCGCATAGACGGTTGGCCTGTAGGAGCCGCCGAAGTGGCAGATGTCGCCACCCATGAACACGAAGGTATCGGACGTTGTGCGCGCGAGGCCCGAAATGTGTCCGATAGCATGTCCTGGCACATCGAGGATGTAGAAGCTACCGTCTCCGAAGAGGTCATGGGAAGGAAAAGCGCCAATTTTGTCATTGGTGTCGAAGGAGACTTCGTGGACGGCGCGACCCTTGAAGTCCTTGTCAAGTACTGGGCAGTCCTTGTTGGTAGGATAGCCTGGCATGAAGTTCTCCTTGAATCCAGGGCCAACATATAAATCTGTAGAGTGTGGAAACAGAGAAAGATCTCCCGTGTGATCCCAATGCCAATGGCTCCATACGACGGCATCAATCTTTTTGTCGTCCACCCCACCCTCGCGCAGAATCTCGTTGACGTTTTTTGGAATGTTGAGGCCGGGTATACCGTTCTTGAGTGAGGCGTAGGAGCCTGGGGAATGGTTCCACCAGTCCTTCCGGCATCCAAGGTCGAACATGATGGTTTTGCCCAACTTCTTGTTCTCAATCAAGAAAGCGAAGGTCGGCATATTCATGTATTCATGCCCATTCTGTACGGGTTCAACAAAGGCTTTGGCCGGCACGACGATATCGGTGGTGGTATTGATAATGGACACTTCCACGGTAGCGTTGGATTGGGGGATTTTCAGGGGAGGGTGCGCCTGAGGTTTGATCTCGTCGCCTGCCATGATTATCGTGCCTGCTTAAATGAAGTCGACTCAACGACAAATGTTTTCTGAAGACAAAAGGCAAGAAGCAAGAGCCAAACATGGAATTATGAAAACGCATCCGCCTTGTCCCGCGGAAGGATTGCGGGGAAAGCTTCGTCATTTGACTTTCGGGGTGGATGAAAGGCATTGACGCATGCTGCAATTAGGGACTTAAAACATTCTAGATCAACACCAGCTGGCACACCGCATACATCAGATGCAACACAACTGCATGATTCTAGACCGGGTTGAGCGTTGCACGCAGGGAAATGAGAAAATGCAAGAGGTAGACGGTGAGCAGCAAAATGCTATGGAAGGATGCATTACTCGTATGCGGAACACGCAGTGCACAAAAGAGCTGTTGTCTTCAGCAAATGGGCGAGCTGGGTCACAAGGGAGGCGGAGGCGGAGGCGTATGCGCACACGCATCTTTTCCCGAGACTCACTCAGTCTCAAAGAAAAGATGATGCCAACTGTCGAGAAACATAAGACGGTTATAGGGTGCAGCTCCACCACAGTCGCCCGGCGCTAAGGCCTTATATCCGAGGCGCGTCTTTGAGTTTCTCGAGTCACGAGTGGAGAACAAAAGGAAGGAGCATTGAGGTGTAAATCAAAAAGATCAAAGAAAAGGAACCCACTGCTGCTTCGTACCTTACCCTTCAGAATTCTCAGTATGTCCACTGTCCGAAATTACGCTGGTCTTCCAGATCTGGTGAATGCTACGCCTCTGTGAACTGATTAAATCAAGCGCTCATCTGCCTTCTAGGATCCTGCACCTGATATCTATGAGACTCCAGAGCTTACGGAAGACACATCCACACACCCTGTGAGTTTTAAAACATGCTAGACAATCTTCATACGCGTTGACTATCCGTCAGACTGTTACCACCTTCCGCTCCGAATCTCCTGCATCCTCCTACCATGAAGACGAAGACGAAGCCAGCGGGATTGTGCGTCATCGCCTAGATGCAGACGAAGCTCGAACACATTTCCTGCCGATAGGAGAGCGCGACCCCCCATCTTCAAGTCGAATCAGCAGCAAACGGAGATCTTATCGATCTTCTAGTAGGAAGAGGCCGAAAGATGGGCTCGAGATCAACGGCCTTATCAATGGAATCGAGATCTCCAGCGACGAGGAACCGGAGTCGTTGGAGAGGAAGCTCGCACGGCTACGAAAGGAAGTGGCCGAAGTCAAAGGAGAGTTCGCGCAAAGAAGGGCAAAGAAAGAGGATGGAGCTTCCCAAGAGCCGCAGCATGAAGCCGAGAACTTGGATACTTTGGATCAGATCCTGGAGAGCGTAGACTCACCTGATACTGACGGTGGTGCCGGCGCTGCGGGTCGCCTAACAAAGAGACTCGTGGCCACAACAAAACCAGTAGGGACCTCAGTGTACTCACAGGATGGACCAGGGTCTCGGCCAGCGCAGCAGAACGCAGCCACCTCTACGTATACAGTCACCTACGCACCCACCTATCAAGAGGAACATACGCTCTCCAAGGTAGCTGACTTTGATTCGCGTTTGACATTGATCGAGGCTGCGTTAGGCCTCGATGCCATTCCGTTGCCTACACAGGACAGATCACCCTTGAAAGCCGTTCTTCCAGCCCTGGATACCTTGGAAAAGCAGTTGTCCACCCTCTCCAATTCTACGGACACGTCGCTCGATAAGGTCAGCCGAAAAGTAAGGCAATTGACGCAAGATGCGGAGAAGCTCGAGCAATCCAGGAAAGCCGCGAAAGCAGTGCAAGAAGCTCTCAGTCCCTCGGGCGAAGAGTCTCCTTCGCTGAACGATCCAGCGAAAGACGCGGACGTTCTTGAATACGCTGAGCAAAGATCGAAGATTAATGCACTCTACGGCACTCTATCTACTATCGAGTCGCTAGCGCCGCTATTGCCGTCCGTGCTGGATAGACTGAGGTCTCTGCGTTCAATCCACGCTGATGCTGCAACGGCAAGCCAAACTTTGGCAAAGCTGGAGATGCAACAAGAGGATACAAAGCAAGAGCTGCAAGGCTGGTGCGAAGGGTTGAAGAAAGTGGAAAATGCAATGAAGCAGGGAGAGCAAACGGTGAAGGGGAACACCGAGACCGTTGAAGGCTGGGTAAGGGAGTTGGAAGAGAGAATGCGGAAGCTTCATTCGTGACTGGTCTGAAGAAAACGTATGTGCTTGAATTCTAAGACTACGTCACCTCTGGTCTAATCATGGCCATATACCCCAGTTGCATGCTCGAATTAGCGTTTGTCAGGCGTTCTCTTCACTCTTATACGTCTTAATGATGGTTCTCTACCGAAAACGTCGCTGATCCTGCTGATCGGTACTTTACCCTCACGATATTGAGGCTGTCACTGTCCACGGCCATGTCACGAACGCGTGGCTCGCTTACCAAGTCTATTGTTGAATGTTCCGGGACTTCGCCCCTTCAATTCGACAATCCGAGGTCCAAATCCTCGGGTCCTGACCAATTGATGCGGATAAACCCCATTTGTTGACGGCGGAATGCTTCTCCGGCACTATTCCAGTACCACTCCCCCTCTAATCCTCCTTCCCCCCTCCAAACAACTGTGATCAGACCACTATTTAGACACTTCAGGTGAGTCTTCTAAACCCGAACGAGACACGTATCTTATGTTGTCAAGGCTAATGTCCATCATATCAGACTCTGGTACTGTGCCGAAAACCGACTCTCGGCTTGGTAGCACCATAGTACATCAAACAGCATGGCTTCGACCAGCAGCTTACTGGTGGCAATCCAGACTTGTGAGTAGCAAGACTGTTTTCTTGCATTTTCATTTCTTGAATTTACTGGATGGCAAAATTGTGGATTCGCCTGTCACTCTGGGTGCTAACCTCGTTGAATCTTCTACGTCTTCGTGGCCTTGTACCACTACACATAAACACCACACCACATTCTTCATCTACAGAGACACTGTAAACTGAATTATACATTAGGTCACATCGACAAACTCCCAAATGAGATACTACACCAGATCTTTCGGAGAGTTCCACGAAGAATCCTGAAGCGCGTCCGACTGTGCTGCAGACGCTGGGCCAGCGTCAGCATAGAGCACGTCTTTGAGCAGATCTACTTTGCTTCCCGTTCTGAACCTATCAGACATTTCGAACACATCGTCCGGGATCCCCATCTTGCTGAATCTGTGAAACACCTGGTCTTCGACGACACTCAGCTACCGAAGAGGCTGCTCCAGCAAGAGCCACACTCCTCAGCACTGGCGGAACATCGCATGTGGTCTCGTTCTGAACAAGTCGCAGCACACGATGCTTTTCGCCAGCGCTACCGCGATCAGGAGCAAATAAGGGCCACCTCAAAGGATCTCACTGTACTCTTACGAGGACTACCCCAACTTTTGAGACTCAAAAAAGTATCTGTCATTGGAGGTCCCTCGCACCTTTACTGGCCTCCAATTCCGGCGGGTCCTCACGCCCGAGACCTGGCTGAAACTGAGGTGGCTGCATCATACTGGTCTTATCATAAGGAGAAAAAGGCGTACTACGAACCGTGGGGCAGTCACCGCGTCCAGCATCTTTTCCAGGCCCTTTTTTCCGCAGAAGTATGCCTCACTGAATTGCACATCGGAAATTGGCAGGGCCATCCTAGACCACTGAAGATGGGCTTGCCGTTGTCTTCGCTTGTGGCACCCAATGCCATAGACCAAGCGAGGTTCACGACGAATGCTCAGAGCGTGTTCAGCCATCTCACAGAACTCAATCTGCAGATTGATCTGAACCCCAGAGTCAAGGGTCGCGATTATAGTGGAAAACATCTTGAACCTCTTTTCCAGATACTGTCATCAATGACCCGACTCAAACGCCTTACTTTCGGAGTGACTCAACGGAGAATCGCCTTCGATATGCATGACACTCAACGGCTGTTGAGCTATACCTGGCCCGCTCTTGTAGCAATGAAGCTTCGATGCGTGCGCGTCGATCCTGATACACTGCTCAACTTCTTCGCCAGACATAAGGATACACTGACCACCCTTTTCCTCCATCACGTTGGCTTCGAGCCGAATACGTCGCATACTTGGCTGGATATTGCGCAGCGAGCTGGGCAGCTGCTTCACTTGGACTATGCGGCGCTTGACGTGTACGAGTGGGGTGAAGACTCTGATATCAGCGGTTGGCAAATCAACAGTACTGAAACGGATCTGGTACGTACCATTTGGAGTATTTCCTTCTTATTCGATATCTACTTTTATGCCCCATGACAGGTTTCGGAAGCAAAAGAGTGTTTTGCCTCTTAAGAGTATCTCGTGGCCCAGGCTTCTCACTCTGAGTAGGGCATACTGACTCCAAAACCTGCGCAGGCTATTATTTTAGGTGGAGGGTACGAAGCTACGCGGACAAGCTGCGACCCAAGTAACGGTGAGAGGGCCAGTGGAGGGATGGAACCAAGCATTTCAGTGACAGCTATGGAAACGCCCCAAGGTTTTGGCTGCGAAAACAATGTATGTGATCGATGTGGGGGATGGTTAAGGAATGACGCTCAGGTGAGTAGTCGTAATTGACCACCATGTTCACGATTAACGGCCACCATTCATGCCTGTCGGAAGAGAGCAACAACGGAGGCCATGTTCACAAATACAAGTCATATTTGGGTATCAACCGGGAATACGGTGTCGTCTTTGATCAATCTGTTTGAGAAAAAGCGTTTAGGTGCAAGAAGCTCCTCACTAGTATTGATTTTCTCGAAATCATGAGGATTTGTTCCTTTTCGACCGCCAATTTTTCTAGTACCTGGCCTGAAATACACTGATCCGTGATGTTAGCGGACTGTTGATCTCTATGCGTTCTTTACCTTTACTGTCGATGAATTGGGCGAAGCCTTGGAAGTGAAGGCAACTCCTTTTAATACGTATTCCATCTGATTCGACTCTCTTTGTCGGATTAGGTTATACATTGCTGTTTGATTCCCTTTCGGTTGTTTTTGTGCTGTCGTCTAGGGTCTAGCTCTCTCATTCTCAAGCAATCAGGATGTTGTTTCATTCATCACAAATATATATCAAGCCCTTCCACCTTGTACCCACCACATTCAGGTTCTCTTCCAGCTGAGATTCGAATTGTGGGGCTTAGCGGACTAGCTTTTCGTGACCCAAAAAAGGCACAAACGTCTGCAGAATTCTTCCGTGACATGCGTGAGATTGCTCCGTAATTAGCAGCTCGTCAGAACCACTCTTGGCCGTGCACCAATGGTACAAGAGTAGCTACAGGCCTCGAAAAAAGGCGACAAGGTCAAGCTGGAAATGGCATTCGCCAACTCCTTTTCCGTCTGCGCGGCGGGTGACAAATAGTCTAGACAAGAGCAGGACCACACGGGCCACCCCAATAAGAAGGTCCGGAGCAATACATGGCCAGCTCTTGAATCGATTGAACTGCGCGGCTTCGAGGTTCACAATGTCCACTTGCATGCATTCTTCGACCACCACAAGAGCACCCTTGTCGGCTTGGCTCTTGTAATCGTCCCATCTGAGCTCCGTTCGCGTGTCACTTGGACCGATCCCGCGCGAGATGCTTGGATCATTCGACAATTCCAAGTTGAGAAGCTCGTCTTTTTCGGTGTGCTCCCAACAACATGAGGGGCTACAATCACATCGCAGCACCTTTCACTCCATGATTTCTCCCCTTAACACCCTAGAGCAAAGAGGCTGGAGAAAAGGATCCAGCGAGGGCTGAGCGGCGGAAATGGGCCGCGGATAACCCATCCAGACTGTACCAGGTGGAGCGTCCAGACATCCGGAGACTGCTTCGTATTTCGCGGAGAGAGCGCAAGCACAGCGCTTCGCAGATACAATCTATGGCCCTTCTGCTCTCGTCGCTGAGCGCTCTCGATCTTTTCGACAATTAGATACTGTTGGGTGTATTCAGAATTGCGATTGCCAACCTCACGAGTCTCGACCTGCGGCTCGACGTCCATGGGCGGGCTTTCGGCCACGATTATCTGGAGAGGGATATGGACGACCTTTTCGAAATTCTTCCTTGTACAGAACGATTTGACAAGCCTATCGCTTGGCTTCATGAATCTCTGCCTGTATGCAGATGATACGAGAAGTGTGATAGAGAAGAAGTGGCCCGCTCTCCAAGCAGACAGGTTCCGCGGCATGAAGGTCACCATTGTTGATCTGCATGTTTTCTTCGAGGGGCACAAGTCACGCTCGAAAATCTTATTCTGCATGATTTTGGGCTTCTTGCAGGTTCAGGTCGGTCCTGGATGCAGTTTGTGAGAAGCGCTCGGGCGTTGCAACGCTTTTCACACGCCGGTATGGCAATATGCGGCTTTGTGGATTGAATGATGACGATTTTGCTTTCGACAATACACTATACCAATGGGGGCGTCCTGTGGTGGCGGAGTTGACTCGTTAGACCTGACTTCAAGCCGCCATCAGCACAGTATGTCGAAGCTCTCAACCCTGTCAAGTCTTCCACTATGCAAGGTTCGTCGATAAAACACAGCATCTGGTCAAAGGCAGCACGTGCTTAATCAAACGGCAATTGCCACTCGATTTACAGTCACAATCCACACCTTAGCGGATCATTCCGGCAAATGAACAGGGACGAAATAACAACCGGAGCGGTCCAAACCTGAACGACGGGTCTTTTGCACTATTCTAAGCTCCAAAGGGGCCCATTACGACGAAAACGCTGAAGAACTCTGATCGCTTGCAATGGTTCTAACTGCCTTAAGCTCTAGGGGCTGGTAAGAACAATAGATACGCCTAGGAAAATCAACCCTGACACCTTCACATTTGGTCAACATGACGCATACGAGCCCGTTTTACGTAAACACCACAGCTAAATGCGTATAGCAAGCACTAAGCTGTTGGGTATCCCACGTGCCATCGGACAGCAAGCAAAACCATCATCTTTTCGTACCGGACGCGCGCATCGATTTGGTGCTGGCAAAGACGCATCATATTGAGAGAAGCGAAACCCGACCTAGAATCGGAACATACGGTGTTACTTTTGGGAGTGGATACCCGCTGTAGGTGCTTCTCCAGAGTCTCGTATCAATCTGTCACGCTTCCATAAGGTAGTATGTACACTGAATACCGAGCATCTCGGAGAAGTTGCAACTGACCTTATGGTATAATTCCTCAAGCCGTACGGTTGTTTTCTTTTGCTCATGTCTGCGACGGCGTTTTGGAGAGATTCCACCATCATCAGGTTTGGCACGTCTTGCCCGGCCTACCATACTCTCCATGGTAATGCGCCTCACAAAACCCCATCGAAGCCCACAAGTCTTCCTCCTTCCACCTCGCCCTCTTCACAGCGATCTTCACCCCCATCCTTCAAACTCAACCCTTCAAACACATCGTCCACAGAAGCTAGAACCTCCCTCCTATAAAAGACAAAACTCCCACTCCCCACCACACCCGCCTCGGCATCCTCCCTCCTCATCGGTAGCAGCACCGCCACCAAAACCCTCCTCCGATGCCAGCGCCAGCACCCACCTACCCTTCGCTCCCACGGTCAAGCTTCCTCACACGAACATACCCCACTCCGACGACCGTACCCTCGTCCCCCCTTCCAGAACCCCTTCACCCATCCGCAAAAAGCATCTCCCGGACCGACTTCCATGCCGCCCAGCCGGCCGTCGCCGCGACCGCGTCCGTCCTCCCACACCCGCATCCGAACCAGGCCGCCCGTCTTCACCCGGCCGACGGTCCTGCGCGGCGGGGCCCGCAGGTCAGGTCTTGGGCCCCTGACCAGCTTTCTCCGACGGGGTGTCACGTGGCGCTCGCTCGCTAGGGGCCGCTGCGTGCTTGCCGGTGGCACGGTCACGGGGGCGGGCTCCGCGGAGGTCGCTGCCGCGACAGGACCTTTGGGGGTTCGGGTTGGCCGGGGCGGTGGGGTTGTAGGATGAGTTGGCGCTGGGGGGGGGGTTTTTTTTTCCCCGGGTGGCGGTTCAGGGGTTTGTGGGGTCGTTGGCTTCGCGTGGGAAGGTGTGGGTGTGGTGGATGGGGTTGTGGGGATGTGGATGTTGGTTGGTTGGTTGGTGGGTTGTGGGGGGATGGGTTGGGAGGATTTGTTCACTGGAAAGTTCGGACGAGAAGCGACATTCATGAAGAGTTTGTACGCTGTCTATAAGGTTTTTTCTGATAGAGATTGATCATGGACGACACATATTTCTGAAATGATACCCAAATTTGACATGGAAATGAGAGGAGGGTTTCAACTCCTCAGACTGCCGACTCTGTTTTTGAAAGCTCTTGCAACAAAACCATATGTAGATCCGCATCTACACAGATACCAGTCACAGAGCAATCGTTGCGCTGTTGAAGGCGCAGAATCGTAGCAGGGGACCATACAAGTTCAAAGATTCCTTCTATCCAAGTATGCACAGCAACTCCGATCCCCTTCATTCATCATGCGTGAGAAAAAGGCAGCGGCCGTGTCTATTCTCCGTATGCTAGATCGTCATCGTCGTCAGACTTCTTTTCCAACGGTCTGATTCAAACGATTAGCACCCTCTGGTCCGTCGACACGTTCAACAGCCGACCGGATGGAGGCTCAAAGCTTACCCTTTGTAGTCGTACACCAACCTCGCCTGCTTCCAATCATCCCCCTTCCTCACGATGACATGCCGTACATGATGCCTCTTGCCATCGACCTGTTCAAACCCCCACACCTGATCGGCCGTCCACCCATTTTCCAGGCTCTCGGCCAGAGCCTGCACATGCTCCCCTTCCATATCGTCGTACCCGGTCTTCAAGAAGTCGTCTTCGTCGATATCCGCCAACTTGATCCACCGGCTCTTACCCTTGACCTTTCCGAATATCCTGTCCTGATGCTCGCGCCAGGTGAAGTCGAGAAGGCGCTTTTCCTGCGTGGCGCCGACGCCGCCGGTGGCCACTTGGGCGATGTCGATGTGGGTGTATTTCTCGGCGGTGTCGTCGACGTACTGGTTTATGGTGAGGGTGATGGTGGCGTAGGAGATGGCTTTGCGGAGGAACCAGGATACGCCTTGCTGGTTGGGGCGTTAGATGGGGGAGGTGATCGCGGGGGGAGGGAAGTGGAGGGAGGCTACCATTTGGAGGATGCGGTCGTAGTCATCGGAGAGGGACTTGTTCTGAGGGTTAGGTCAGTATCGGATCCAATAGGCCGTTGAGTTGGAGGAACGAACCATGGTCCATACTCCGTTGAGATCTTGGATCGTTCTTTCAGGTGGTGCTGCCATTGTTACGGTGCTTCGAAGGGTAGGTAGTAGGGCGATTCGTGTATAGGGAGCAGGGAGGAAGGGGACTTTGCTCGAGAAATAGGTGTCTTTATGAATGGATTAAGACTCAGCCTTCAGGATTGAGGCGTACGAGGCACGGCGATTTACTGTTACAAGCCAACATCCGGACTTTGGGTTGCCTGAAACAAATGATAATGGTCTGACAATCTAATCTGAAATTCGCTTATCGCCTGTCCGGATCGGCCCGTTATCGGATATCTAGCTTGGATTCTAAATAAGCGAGGGACTTGAGGAAGGCTCTGGAATTTGTGTGAACTTGTGAAGACGTCGCGAGATTGCTACTTAATGTGCCAGATATGCTCATATTTCACGCCTACATCTAGAATACAGAGGTGTTGCAATCCATCAGATGGGTGCAGCTTCCTTAAGATCGGCTCAATCTAGCGGCAACTAGCCAGCACGTGTTCAGGGAAGATTTTGACTACTGTGGAACAAGGTACATACTCTTAGCTTGGGCTCATAAATGAATGCGTTACCCACATCTCTCTGGGACTCCTTCACGCCGTTCCAGACCAGGATTCGGAAATCGCCCGGGAGCTTACTAAACGGTGCACACACCGATGTTATGTGCTGTTAGCCATTTGGTCGTCCTACGATCAAATGACGATTCCCCCATTGAGTTGTAAACTCTTATGTGTTGTTATGGCGTCTGTGATACCAGGAGTCTTCAGGATCATCTCTCCGAGATCCATTATGAGCTCAACTTTTGATCGTGATGCTTGCACATTAATGTTGGGCGGTGTCTCTCAGAATCTGGGCCGAAAGGGAAGACGTGCAGCGTTGAACCACTGTATAAACATTCGCGGGATTTCCAACTGTGTTGATTATCTCAGAGGGTCAAGCTTACTTGTACGCAGACGCTAGCAGATTGATTTGCTAAAGCGCAAGTTAAGAGTTGAAGCCTGTGCAAAACGTTAAACATGATCTACTGACATGTGTTAAGGCGAAAGTCTTTGACCCGATTGGCTCCTGAGCCCCCTTCCCATTAGAGAATTGGGTGTTTTGACTGATTCTTGCACCAATAGCTGAATTTCTGAGTCTCATCTTGAGATGTACTCTATCCGAAAGCAAAAGCCTTCACTTCGAACATTTAAATTAGTGTTGCTTCCTATTGCTACGGAAGACGGAGCAGGCTTGGCACCCAGTCCACTGCTATGTGGACTATGGAGGTCGGGTCTTGGTCTTTCTTGCAGAAAGGGAATGGAGGCGACAGCCATTCTCCCATCACTAGCATACAATTGGAAAAGTGAAGACGGTACAGAGCAGATAGAAGCTCCATTCGTTCCCACACCATTTACTGCTTCGGTGTGACATAGCTAATGCCATTGCATGCTTTCGAAAACAAATGGACTGCGGCCTACGGGTAACAGATGTGTGATCACTGATCTGCACAAAGAATCTGGTCGCCAGGTCGCTTAGACTACTCTATCAGGTGTAGAGTAATCTAAGGGTCGGCCCGAAGATCGACGTCAACGCTCAACGCTAAACGCTAAATTCGTTCCACTTAAAGTACCTTACGCCCGAGTCTTCGAGCTCTTCCTTTTTCTTAGGTAAGTTCTTTACTTTTGCTTAAAGTACGAATATTGCAATCTGACATTCTTCACAGGCCACAATGTCATCATTAAAACCGCCCCTTACCAAAACGCTGTTGTGAAGCCTTTCAACAACAACACCCAACTCCAGCAGTCTACCACGCCTCGACCTCTCAAGAATATCCGGCATCTTGCCCAACCCACGTCCAAGCGGTATATGTTCGGCACGTCTTCGATCCCTTCAATTTGATCTCTACTCCCTCAGATTTTGGTCAACACGCAATCTAGCTTACTACAATGCCTCATGTCTTTACTTTTGGTGTCCCCAATTACTTCAATTTCACCTTTCAAGCTGGGCCCAAGTCCCCTAGCCTGGGACTTGCTAATGGGACTGTCGATGTTGAATCGCTCTCGAATGACAATGTAGACTTTGACGCCGGTAACCGATGGAAGGCTCATAATCCATCACCGTCGGAAGATATATATCCCGAGGCCAGTAACGAGGTCAAGACCGTTGTCTTCTCGCCTTCATGCGGTACTAGTACGGGGAACACAGCCTCATCGCCATGCAGTCCATGCGGTCCATGCGGTACACTTAGCCGACTTCCTCTCGAACTCAGAATCATGGTCTACAGTAGGGTTCTGAAGTTTGACAAATACATCAGACAGGCGCATAGATTTCTAGATCGGTACCCTCCAATCATGGCGGAAGAGGTCAAACATATCGAAGCTATTGATGCCGCTCTCTTGCGCACCTGCCGCACCGTTTACCACGAGACCGTTCACGTTCTCTATGGTATGAACCGCTTTCATTTCCGCAAGCCGAGGCATATCGAGCAATTCGCGCACGTTGGGCTGGGAAACAGGCCATTCGGATGGTACCGTACCGTCAGCGAGCCCGCACCCTGCGGCAGACTCACGATGATTCGCTTCATGACTTTGAAAATGAGCTCGGAATGCGTCGTGGATGATCGAAAGAAATTATGGTCCTCGTGGTGCGATTTCTTCTATCCATCTAAGGAGCAAGATCAACTGGTCGGGTTTCCTGCTCTGGAGTGGTTAGCTCTGGATCTCACGGACTGGGCGCTTACTGCTGGAGATGCTGCAAAAGTTAGGGTATGTCCTAATCTCTTGTCTCGACTTCTTGTGCCTCTCTACGCTCGGCCTCTCTCGTTTGGACTGCCCGAGCTAATGTTTATTGCTGTTTGCAGGTTAAGCCTTTCCTAAAAAAACTCCGTCCGACAGGCGGATTGAGACATTTAACGCTCATTGGCGTGAATCACGAGCAGAATCTCCACGACTTCAAGCATGGTTTTGTCAGACAGGGGGGCACGTTCCGGCCTGCTTCATGTTCCGTCAAAGCAGTTGCAACTACCACGGTCACACATGACAATCTTCCGGAAGTTTCGATGTACGTTCGCAATATTGTGGAGGAAGACAGGGCCTCGCAAGCGATCTTGCAAGGCTATGGGAATGCAGCACTGGCGGTATGAGATGAGTTCTCTGGGCGTCTTGGCCGTGGACTTCGATCAGCTTTGGATTTGGGCGCATGCGGCAAGTAGCAGAGGAACGAAAGACCACCGTAGCACCGGCAGAATCTCCAGGAGCTCAGGCAAGGACCCGTCAAGCCGCAAGGCCAATTTCGAGGTGTTGATGAGGTTCAGGGAGAGTCACGAATGCCGCCCCTGATGCCGAACGTAAATTAAATATGTTTGATTAGCAGTCATACTCAAAATTATCAAGCCAGGACCCGGCTCTGCTTCTCCGCTGGCCTCTCCCCATACCTCACCCATCCATGAAATACTACCTCCTTCACGACCTTTCATATAATTTCAATCAAAATTCCATCGAGGAGCTGAACTACCCATCCAAAAGCCCGCTCGCCTCAGCCCCCCCCCACCACTCCCCGTCGATACATCCCGAGCTCATCCACCTCTCAAGACCCCAACCAACCAACCTTCCCCCCTCTCCCATCCACCACCTCACCAAACCCCGTCTCTCAAACCGTAGCGATTCCACTCGTGCCGTATTCCTCTCACGACGAAACGCTTGCCGCCGAAAAAAAATCTCCGCCCAGGTCCCACGGAACGTTGCGGGGATCGGCTCGAACTTGGGTCGTGACGCGGCACGAGGGTTTGCGAGGGGGGGGGAGGGTAATCAGCGTTGGTGGGATCGAGCGTCGACCGTTCCGGGCATCTGGCTCGTGCGATCCGTTTGGTACCTGAGCTGTGGAGTGTTGATGCTGAGGGTTTTGGAGCTCAGTCTGGTTTAGATATGTGGTCTCCGATTCGGATGGGATGGAGAGGCTTTTTTTCTTTACTCGATGCGTAGTGTTGGTTCTGCCGATTGGATCGTAGGGACTTTATTGGATGGGGGGGTGGTAGGGAGGGTGTGGAGTGGAGGTGATGAGTCGGATGCGATAATGGTGAATATGATTATTATGAGAGGAGGAAATGATACATGATTCACAATGCTTTTCATGGAGACATCCGGGAACAAGTGTGAGATTTGAGTCCTATCACCCTACAGAGGTATGTGAAGACGGTGTGCGAAAGCCTGGTATAGTATACATGGACTTTTGTAGATTTGCAAAAGAATTCAAAAAAAAATTGCATGTTCGGCTAGAAATGTATCGATTGAATAGTCGGGATTCATGACTAGATACCTGGTGAAGTTTCGGCCGGCGGGTACGCACATACGGAGGTGGTGGCGGTCACGGCAGGCGGCGATGTGCACGTACACAGCGCAGTATACGGCTGAAGTGCTGTCGTAGCCGATGCGCCTCCAATGGTCTGGGCTTTCACGAGCACGGGAATCGCAGCGCCTGTACTCAATCCGAACGCCTGATGACCGAGGACTGCACAAAATGACAATTAGTGGGAAGTTAGGAGGGCTTCGGGAGAGCGACTGACCACTCAATATGGAGCCGATCTCGCCCGAATGACTCGTAATGGATATGTAGGTACTGCCATCTGTAGAGAAGACGCTGTCAAGGACCCTCTTAGACCTGACGGCTTGGTCTGTACTAGTCTCGCCGTGGAGAGCTACCCATAGCTCATCATCTTGAGTGAAACCGGGCTCGATCGTGTAGCTGGGGAAAAGATCGTGGATGTAGGTCTCATTGCTGCGTCGATCGCAGGTATGTCCGCTGATACCTTCACGGAAATACTCCTTGACCAGGGGTATGAAAGGATGCCTAGCCGGCAAATCAAGGCCGTTGAAGGTGTAATTTGCCGTCTGAAGACACCTTGTTAGAGGACTTGTATAGTAGCTCTGAGGTGTAGGAATCTTCTGATCCTTAATCTCTGACGCCCAGAACTCATTGACTGCCAGAGCCTGGCTGACTCCCAGTGCAGATAGATGAGCATCGGACCAAGTGACGGTGCTGTTTCCGTCGAGCTCAGAGTAGTAGCAGTTCCATGCGGGCGTGCCATAGTAGGCCTGCGCATCATTATGATAGCCGTCACCGTGTCGGCCCATATAGAGCAGCTTGTACTCGGTGCCACGCGGAGCCTCGCGATTGAGCTGGGTAACTTGGTGCTTGAAGCGCTGCCATTGAGTCAGGTTATGGTGGGAATGAAGAGTGGTATCGGCTGGGTATGTGCGATTGATGAGGCCAAAGTTTGTGGTCATGAAATTGAAGGTGCTAGCGTTGGTCGAGGGTTCATCTTGCAAGAAGTATCCCGTGACTGTAGTATAATTGATGTAGGAGCTTGGGGTTTTGGAGCTATCCGCTACGCTCAAAGAAAACAACCCGCTTGCTGCAAGGACCCATAGCAGGACCGAAGAGAGCATTGTGATGGCCATGTATTTCTCGAAGACCGAACGGAAATGGCAAGTGGTCATTGGCACTGCAAGCCTCTTTATATGGAGGACCACTCATTTTGGTCTGAAGACATGTTGCAAGTTCGCTCGTCGATATAGGAGTATGGACTGTTACCTGTAGAATAAAAACGTGGACAGCGCACGTGGATATGGAGACTTTGAAGCCCGCAGACCCGTGTACCTTAGCCAACCGGGATCAGCGGCCCTTTTAACCCAAAGAGGCAGCTGGGCTGGTACCTGGACCCGCTAAAATAGCCATGTTCTAGGCGGGTCTCTGGGGTTGAGCCTCCTTTGAAGAGCCTCGTCAGTCGTCACAACGCTCCGGCTTGTCGCATAAACCACCCTTTTACCGGGCCGAGCGCGTCGACAGTTCTCAAGCCCAAACCTCGCAATCCCACCACTGGCCCTGACGTTGCAGAGTAGAGCCAATGTAATTTATCTACTGCACCAAGCATCCTGTTATTGCTCATCCACATCTCCTCGTTGTATCTATCCAGACATGCAATTTCATTTCCTATATCTGCTCCATGAAGAACCGCATGTTCAACGGCAGAAGCTAATGAGCGGGAGTCCGCAAGGCCCATGTTGAGGCCCTGGCCCGCGAGGGGATGGATGGTGTGAGCTGCGTCCCCGATAAGAGCGACGCGGTTGGTAGTGTACGTAGAGGCATGGCGTAGGCGCAGAGGGAAAGATGCAATCGAGCCTTCTTGAACTGACGCAATATGCTGAGGCGTTTCTCCACCGAGATCTGCTTTATTGCCGGGGTGGACCGATTCTCGCCATTCCAGCTCGTCGACTTGGCCAGAATCGAGAGTGAACATGTAATTCAGATCGACCACATCCAGTCTGAAAGCGGCGTTGACCATGGCTACGAAGTCTTCCGTGCTCAACGCCTTAAGCCGCGTGGCTTGCGGTGGAGTCGTAGTCCACACCAATGTAGCGTAGTCGCCAGGTAGAGCCAGGAAGGCAATGGGGCCCGAGGGTAGAAAACGTTGGTATGCTGTAACTCGTTGAGGATTTTCTCTGCTGTGACCGGTTCCTGGTGGGAGCTTCAGCGTAGCAACTACACCGTGACGATCATAGTCCCAACCACGGGTGGATATTCCTGCAAACGTGCGAACAGGGCTGTTCACGCCATCGGCCCCAACGAGAAGACGAGCGGCGATGGTATGATTTGAGGAGAGAGTCACATGAGGGTAGGAGGAAAGATCAAGGGATGTAGGCGATTCTGCTGGAAATGATAGTGGAGGGCCGAGATGTATGTCGGCTACGGATGTTTTGTCGAAGAGAGATATTATAGGCAGGTCATCGAGGCTTGTAATAAGAGCGCGAGAAAGGTTCTGGTTCTCAGTCATAGAGGCTATGGGTGGCTCTGATGTCAGGGCGTCGAAAGATATACGTGAATTGGAGGAGAGGCCATCCCATACGCGCATATGCCGGTATGGTTGGACCCGAGAGGTATCGACATTCGGCCATGCTCCAATTTGGGAGAGGAAGGAGAGCGAAGAGGGGGTAAGAGAGCTGGTGCGGTAGGAAAATTGATCTGGAGGAAGATTCCAAGTTCGCGCTCGCTCAAGGTCTTGCGACTCGATTAGCGCGAGCCTGAGATGCGAAGTGGCTTTGGAGGATCCTAGAAGGGAGTCAGTCCGGTGCTCTTGAGAGGATCGTACAGCTATACATACGCAATGCTGTCAGTAGACTCAGACCTGCAGGTCCTCCGCCTACACATACTACATCGTAGACGTCCGGTGAAGCCGCAGTCGCGTGTCTTCTTGACTGCAGCTTGAATGACCTAGAGCATGATGGGCAGATATAGGACCTCGGAGCCTTTGGGAAGCCTCTTCCTATCATCGTGTGAAACGCGGGTCTCATTATAAAAATCGCAAAGAGGCAAGCGGAGGAGCTGCCGCTGGTGCCGCGGAAACCCCCCGGGCTTCCCCGCAAACGTCACCCCCGCCAGAGCCACAACATTCACGTTCGATACATCTTTCCATCAGCGTCAATGCACATCTGGGTACATGACCATAATCTGCAATGGCCTCTCAGCGGGTATTTGTGCGCACAACTGCAGCCTTGAAGACTCGGGCATCCACATGCCTCTATGCAAACCCTCCGCCTAGATTGCCTACATGTGTAACAGCCCGCAGACGGCTACATGCCTCCAGTAATCGCCTCCAAGCCTCCCCGGCTACTGCTATAGGAGCAGCAGATACATATCCTACGAATCATGAGCAAATTAAGTTGCCGGGCAACACGCCGTATTTTCTAGACAACAAATTCGTCGACTCAAAGACTGAAACCTGGATCGATCTCTACGATCCAGCAACAAACAATCTTGTTACCCGAGTCCCCCAGAGCACGAATGAAGAACTTAATGCGGCTGTCGAAAGTGCGAAGAAAGCATTTCCAGCATGGAAGGCCACAAGTCTACTTCACAAGCAGCAGATCATGTTCAAGTTCGTGGCGCTCATACGGCAGCATTGGGATAGGCTCGCGGCGAGTATCACATTGGAACAAGGAAAGACGTTTGCAGATGCAAAGGGTGATGTTCTCAGGGGCTTGCAAGTTGCTGAGACAGCCTGCGGGATCACAACGCAGTTGACGGGGGAAGTGCTTGAAGTAGCAAAGGATATGGAGACGAGGAACTACAGAGAGCCCATTGGGGTGGTGGCTGCTATATGTCCTTTCAGTAAGTCCAATATAGCAGTCCAATGCTGTTGGAACACCAATTGACCATGAATGCGTTGCAGACTTCCCAGCTATGATACCATTGTGGTCAATCCCCATCGCTACTATTACAGGCAACACTCTCATCCTTAAACCATCAGAGCGCGACCCTGGAGCAGCAATGATCTTAGCTGAGCTTGCTCGGGAAGCTGGCTACCCAGATGGAGTAATCAACATCGTCCACGGATCTGCCAAGACTGTAGACTTCATAATCGATGAGCCAGCTATCAAAGCCATCAGTTTTGTCGGCAGCAATAAAGCGGGCGAATACATTTTTAGTCGTGGCTCTGCCAAAGGCAAGCGGGTTCAAGCCAATCTTGGAGCAAAGAATCATGCGGCTGTTTTACCTGACGCGAACAAAAATCAAGCGTTAAATGCGATAGCAGGGGCTGCCTTTGGTGCTGCTGGCCAGCGATGCATGGCATTGAGTGCGCTTGTCATGGTTGGTGGGACGAAGGATTGGCTTCCTGAGATCGCCGAGAGAGCCAAGGAGCTCAACGTCAATGGCGGCTTCGAAGAGGGCGCAGACCTGGGTCCTCTTATCAGCCCCCAGGCGAGAGAACGGATCGAAAGCATCATCACGAGTGCCGAGGAGGAAGGAGCAACCATCCTTTTAGATGGGAGAGGCTATAAGCCGGAGAAATATCCACATGGCAATTGGGTAGGTTTACTTGATCAATCAAGCGGCTCTTGCGGGGGAATGCTAACACTCCCTAGATTGGACCCACCGTTATAGCCAATGTGAAGCCCCACATGAAATGCTACACAGAAGAGATCTTCGGCCCCGTCCTCGTCTGCCTGAACGTTGACACCATGGATGATGCAATTGATATGATCAATGCCAACGAGTACGGCAATGGCGTAGCCATTTTCACTCGAAGCGGCAGCTCAGCTGCCCGCTTTCAAAAGGACATTGAAGCCGGCCAAGTTGGAATCAATGTTCCTATTCCTGTACCGTTACCCATGTTCTCGTTCACTGGAAACAAGAAGAGTGTGGCTGGCGGAGGTGCGAATACGTTCTACGGGAAATCCGGGTTAAACTTCTACACGCAGACGAAGACTGTGACTAGTCTGTGGAGGAGTGAGGATGCTGTTGCAGCGAAGGCAAATGTAGAGATGCCTACTCACAACTAGTGGCAATATTTACACATGCGAAGATACTTGTATATAGAATGTGAAAGACCTCCGTTATCAAACGGTCAAAATTTACTCGAGGCGGTCGAAGGGTCGTACTCACGCTCAGAGAACGCCCTGATTCGGTTGTTTCAAGTCTCTCTCGAATCTGGAAGTCCGATCATCAACAGCCCGACAAAGTACTACCCTCACGATTACAAGAATCCTAGCTACCTACTGTTCAAAGAGAACACGAGTAGACGAATCCGGCTTTTATGTACTTGTAACCAATCTGGCTCGTCTAACGGTATCATTCTCCGAACAATTCATTGAGCCAAATACCTGATCTCCCCTCAAGCCAGATCAACTCGCTCCCATTGTCAGCTTCCTCATCTTATCTGATACTATCACTCGTCAGCACCTATCATTCTCGATCTCCTCATCTACTCGTGACTGGAAGAAGTCTGAATATTTTGACAACATGGGAACGGTGCTTGATCTTGATCTACCAGATCTGCCAACGGACCTGTTTCTGACCGTCACACGCTATCTCGATCCTATTGACGTTGTTCGCTGTCGTCTCGGATCTAAAATATGGTTCAGAGAATTTACAGATGAATCGTTTCTTCGAGATGTTCTCGGTAGAGAGTTTGGCGAAGCTCAGGACGTGCACGCGCTGTTAGAATTGGAAGTGAAACAAAAGGTCGACATCACATCGGAGAATGACTTCGGTCACTTCCGAGATGTTTGGAGAAGAACTTTTGACAGAGTGCTTGCCAGGAAGTGAGCTCTTAAAGCTGGGAGACCTCGATCCGTCACGAAGCGGGATCTGAGTGGTGGACTCACGAATCTCTCGGAGAAGCAAACAGATATTCGACACCATCATATTCCGGGTTTCCGTGGGCCAGATACCATAGGTGGGCTGGCCGGCGAAGTGTTCATGTAAATGTCCGGCTTGAGGAGCAGGTACCAACGGATCTCTTGGAAACGGAATGGACTTACGACTCCGGTCTACTAGTCTATCCTGATTTAATTGAGATACAGGCCTACCTATTGCTCGACATCGAACAATACACCATATCGATAGTGCCCCTTTGACATTAAAGATCGTATTGTTAGAAGGATACGCCTGAAGCATATTCTACTCGTCTTTGACTGGGCAGAGCGGATACCCTATCACAAGCTGAATGATTTTGGATTTGTCCACCGGCATTATGTCACTGCCTTTGACGTCCAATCAGCCCAAGTCTCCTTCACTTGGCTCCCTCAATGGAAAACAACGTTTCGGAGTGAATGGAAACTGCATTATCTAGGATTCCCATTGTCCGCGCAGGACTGTTGGTTTTCTGACCACTCTACGACACACTATACCATCTACATTCGGCAAACAAACCGCTCGGTTTGGGGTGAAAACGAGCCAATCGAGTCTTTGCTTATCTGGGATATCTCACAACCTTCTAGTTACCGTCCGTCTAACGACCCTTCTGGTAGCAGCCAGGACTCTCTTGTGCCACGCCTTGTGAAGAAGCTCTCGTACCTCGACCTCGATTTTCTAACAATTCGACAAAGAGAGACGCCGTTCTTGAGAAAAATCGCTCTAGATGGAACCGCTTGCGTGTACTTTTTCGAAGAAGGGTGTAATCGCGAAAGGGGGTCACACGTCGGCCACGGCTATGGAGCAGGTAGGAGGAAGCCCAGAGACGTGTACTGGGAACGGATAGTGGGTATTCCGGTCCTGGGTCCTGGACCAAGTTGGGAAGATAGGCTTGGGAGGGATTCGACATTCACCCATGAGTGGCAGCACACAGATTGCAAATGCGCAGATCCCTTAACGCCAAAAAGAGCAACATGTTGGCGATACGAAGGTATGGGTCCCGGAATCCGAAATCAACTAGTTCATGACGAGTCAGCCGGCATCAAGTACTCCGTCGTACAGCGTACGGTTGGTCTCCCGGAAATTTGGGTCTCAGACGATTTGCACAGCTGGAGTGCGATAATTGATCTGCAGAGGATCCAATGGCGATGGAAACAGATCGACGGAGACGAGCGTTATCTAATCATACAAAGCAATGAGGAGCTGCACGTATTTCACTTTGACCATGATCTTGGGGCAAAGAAGAAAAAGGGAAGACGATTTGGCACAGCATGCTGAGTGTTTGTCTACTGCCGGGTGCATGATTCAGGCTGATAAGATGGTCCATTTTGAGAGCTCTGCTGGACGACTGGGAAGGACTGTGACGATTGTGAAAATTACTTTAGGTTGATACAAAACTTTTTGGAAAGAGTGCGGAGCAATCTGCCATGGAGGAAGCTGCTCTTTCCATCTTTGTTGGTTTCTCGAAAAATAGACGTACCTCTGGCTTGAGGACGAATCATTACCAGAGTATGAGTGGAAAATCTGTTGTACAGAGGGTCCTCGTTCCCTGTTGATCAAGAACCGAACGGCTGCAAGAAAGGTTAGCCATGTGCTCCTGGAAGCGTGTGCAAGCATGCTAATCATTCAGTCCGTCCACTTCAACTCCCTCTCGCACGACAACTACTCATCCGTGAATTCCAGCTTTAAGACCCCGATGCTGTAATCTGTTGTACTTGGAAGATGAGTCTTTGACTATGGACAGGGTGAATTTGAGCAGGGAAGGAGCACCGAGAGTGCTCCTTCATCTCGAGAGCAAATCCAAGAACGACGAAAATCAGGTAACAAAAGCTCTGGAGTGCATGTCAAGTCCGAATCTTAATGCCTATTCTGAACGTAACTAGGAGAAGTGTTCCTGCCCATCAATTTCTCAATGTCCACTACCCTGCCAGCGCCAGCGAAGAAGCAAACACCCACAGTCAGAAGGACTAGCGGCCTCCCTCGTCACTGCCAGCATCCATCTCCTTCTCATATGAGGAAGCTAAACTTCGTTTTTAACATCTGGTCAATGACAACCCAGCGGACCTGAAACCGGTAGACTACATTCCTGGCCAATGGCACTGTCTTCGAACCTCACTTTGATACATTCCATCGACACTTGGGCTTATCCAATCTTAAGGTATCAGCGCTGTGATCTCCTAATTCGACACGTTTTCTACCATCCTTCCATGGCAAGTTCTTCCATCCCTTTGTGACGCCATCCTGTATCGAAAGGTCCAGCTCCAAGTGAAAGCAAAACCACCCCGCTCTCAGAAGGGTTCATCACACCACCCTTCACCATGGCCGTCATTATGCCGTTGATGGTAGTTGCCACCCCTCAGGTCCAGCCTCGCACTCTTGAAACGGGAACTGAACGCACCATATCATCTGAGGAAGAAAACAGCCAGCTCCTCGACGCCTTTCTTGAGAGCTGCACCGAAACCGCGCCCACTCACCTTGCCCCAGCGAACGCGGTCTCAGTAACCACCATTAATTCGACGATCCTCACTCTTCCGCTCAGCATCATCAGAAAATTCCTCCGCAATCTCCTAACCTCATCCACCCCACTGATTCTCCAGCACGATTTCATCACCATACCAGGAGAGTACCGCACCCACGTTGAGCCAAAGGTCCTTCAGGTCTGCAAAATCTTCCACACCGTTGGCGTCCCTATCTTGTACGGCGAGAACACGTTCACCACTTCTTCGCCAGCCACTTCCTTCGACTTCGACGAGCATATCCTATCTTTGTCGGGGAGCAAGAGGCAAATGATCACGGATATCAAGCTTGAGATTGACTGGGCTGATAAGCTGTGGGCTAAATTCCCACTCGTGGCTCGTGCGCTGGTGGAGTTGAAGGGCTTGCTGAAGCTTGAAATTGCTATTGTCGAGAAGGAAGAGATGGTGGAGAAGAAGCGAACAGCATCGATAGAGAAGGACGCGAACCTGAAAATAATGATCACATATAGTCAAACTTCACCAAGCAAGGACAAAGGAGCCCGTCAACGCGCACCAGCCACCGACAGAGCAGACAGTCGAATGAAGAGAAAAGGCCCGGCAGCGGATGTGATGCTCAAGGCCGAAATGAAGATGCTTAAGGATCTGGTCATCGGAATCAAAAGGCTAAAGTATTTCCGGTTGCTCGGTTTCAGGCATGAGTTGTTTGCTCGGTGCTTGGAGGAGCAGGTGCTACTTGGACATCATTAACTGCTTGGCTGAATGGTTTGACGATGTGCCAATCAACGGCAGAATCTCTGGACGACTTACCGCTTTATTGGAAGCAGCATTGGTATGTGATGATGTGTTTCAGGACAACGCGGCTCGAATGGTATGTGGGAGCTTCGTGGATCGAATAGGAAGGAATGTGTTTTGATGGTATCTGTTCCAGGACAGAAAGGCTTCAGGGTATGTGTTCAGGAGCAGAGAGAGATTTTAAAGTATGAATTCAGGCGCGGCTGTCGCCTTGGTATGGATATTGGTGTCGATACTTGGTCCTTGGGTGGTACTATACCCTCGCAGCGTGTCAATTAGCAGGTCGAATAGAACCTTAGGTACGAGACTATTTAGCGGCTTTAGCATGCGGTAGCAACACGGATGTCAATGCCAAGTTTCGAATGGTGCGTGATCAAATATCCCGCCACATATGATGCTCATAATCTTCGAGACACTCAATGAAACAGTATTGCCCAAGTATTTAATAGCTAAAATACATGACACCACTTAGCCTTCCGAAGCGGAGGCACCAGTAATAATCTCGACCAATTCTCCAGTGATAACAGCTTGGCGGGTACGGTTGTAAAGGATTTGGAACCTGTTGATCATGTCTCCTGCATTCTTGGAGGCGTTCTACGAAATGCGCAGGTTAGCTGGCGGTAGCTCTAGGGTGGATGGGAAGCATGGGTTACTTACGTCCATAGCATTGCGTCGGGCGGACTGTTCGCAAGCGTGGCCTTCTGCGAGCGCCTAGTCGATAGTCAGCATAATGGTAGGGGCATGGGCTAGGAAGGCAAGGCGACTTACCCAGTAGAGGGAGTTGGCAAGGGCGTATTCGCGGAGATTGGCGAGCACTTCGTCATCAATCTCGAAAGCGGCGAAGTTTGCTAAAAGTTGAGTCAGAGAAGTACTTGTGAGAACAACAAAAGGGGCGAAATTACGTGACTCGCGGATAGCCTCCTCAGAAAACGCCTCAATTGGCGTAGCCTCGTAACTGGTTGCGTTGATGAACTTGTTGTACAGGATTTGCACATCGGCGTAATCCGTCGGCAGCAGCGAGATCTGGTCCGCAATGGCTTGTGCATCCGCAAAAGTCGGCACGTCCTTTCCAACGCCCGCAAAGCTCAGCTGGATATTCTTTCCACTCGATCTACCCAGCTGCGCCTTCGACTTCTCGCCCAATACCACAAGATCCGAATTCGGCTTCTTCTCCAACATCCTCCTCGTGGCTCTTGACAATCCAGAGTGGATACCGCCGCAAAGACCCTTGTCCGAGGAGCACACTATGATGAGGGTTTTCTTATCTTCGGACTCGATAGGCTTGGTCTCTGCCTTTTCGAACACGGTGTTGGAAGTCTCTCCGTAGCTTCGAGAGTCCACCATTGCGCGTTGGGCTCGGTTGAGTTTGGTGGAGGCGACGATTTTCATGGTTTTCGTGATTTTCTCAATGTTGCGGATGGATTTGAGGCGGCCTTCGATTTCGCGGAGGGTGGCATAGCCGGCGGCATCTGCGGCGATGGGCCTGCAGGTTGATCATCAGCTGAGTCTGACGGAGAAACGTTTGTTGTGTCTCTCCAGCCTTCTAGAGATCGCCGTGCACAAGCTGGCGAGGTGATTGCTTAGGCAAAGAGCTTACCGGGCGGACACCGCGGCTGCAGCATTGAAAGCTGGCCGAACAGCTCGCGAGAGCATTGTGAACAAAGGACTTTCAAATACTTTGAGGAAACACAACTGACCCCCGGGTGAGGTATAGAAAATGATGGTCAATTGATTGTTACCGACGCTGAAGAACCAGCTATGCTCGCCAAGTGCCAGAACAACTGAGGTTCTCGAAAAGGAGCTAGCCTAGTATTGGACTAGCGCAGCTCTCCCACAACTTTGCGGGCGCCAGGCGGGTTCAACGAGGCCGCCTTCAGTCAGTCCTACTTTACATTTCCATTCATTCACTTTTGGGACCCTTTACTTTCCACGTCTTCACTACATTCCTTTAGATAATTCCAACACGTACCTTTTCTTACACCACACTCCAGCCGACATGCTCCACCGTGCAAGCCCAATATAAGCGTTTTGTTCCTTCACAGTCGCGTCGGCTAGCTGTCATTCAGCGGGAGTATTTAGACCCGACTCCTCCTTGAGTGCTGGCAACATCTCACTGCCTGCATCCTACCTCATCTTGCCACAATGAGTTCCTCAGACGATGACAGGCCTCTGGCTACAACTCATAAGGCGAACGGCGTTACGAATGGTACGTTATCCTCTCGCTGCAATAATTCGTCTGATTTAGGACTCGGCTGGGCCGTTAATAGCGCAAGCCGCCTACTCTACGTTTGATTGTTTCACTTCTCTACCTCACTTGACCGTCTGCAAGATCCCCTTTATTAATAGTATTCACATCAGGACATCCTCTCAAGTCCAAAGACATCATTTCCGAGAGCGTCGACAAGACAATGGACAAGGCAAACCCGCCAGCCGTACACGGGGCACCCGGAATTTCCATCAGAAATGGCCCAGTTGATGAGATGGACATTGATGGGCCGGCGGTCAACGGCAATGCAAATGGAAAGCGGAAAGCCCGCAGCAGCATGGGCAACAGAAAGTCATACAAGGAAGCAAGTGAGGAGGATGACGAGGAAGGAAAACCTCTGGTGCGTTGTTGGCGAGAACCTTGTGAAGTATGGAATTGACGTTGCTGACTCGTCACAGAGTAAGCGGCGTTGTCTGTCCAAAGGCAAAAACAAGGCCGACGTGGAATCCGACTCTGACGATGCCCCACTTGTGTCCAAAAAGATTAAAAACAAGTCGCCAACGTTGCTGCGAAAGCCTGTCAAAGCGTCTGAGACAGCCATCGGCGAATCTGAAGATTCAGATGCACCTTTAGGCGAAAAACTTGCCAAAGAGAAAGCCGATATCCAGAAAAGTGCTGCGAAAGAGGCCAAGGCGATCCGGAAGGACGAGAAAGAACACCCAAAGAAACAAACAAACGGTACTGTAGCTCCATCGAAGAAGCGCAAAAGCCAAACCAATGATGTCAAAAAAGAGTCAGATGATGATGTGCCTCTCGCTAAGAAAGTGCCGGCCAAGAAGAACGCCGGCTCGAAGGCTGAAACGTCGACCCCAAAGAAAAAGGGCAAAGCTTTGAAAAGAGAGGAGACGAAACAAGATGAAGAAGCTGAGGCCGAAGAGGAGGAGTACCGTTGGTGGGAGGACCCTACTAAAGGCGACGGCACGAAGAAATGGACTACGCTGGAGCATGCGGGTGTAGTCTTCCCTCCGGAATACCAACCCTTGCCGAAGAACGTCCAAATGCTGTACGATGGAAACCCAGTAAGGATGGCACCTGAAGCTGAGGAGATCGCTGGATTTTTCGGAGCTATGTTGAACTCCACTCACAATGTCGAGAATCCGACCTTTCAGAAGAACTTTTTCGACGACTTGACGAAGATGCTGAAGGAGACTGGCGGAGCTACTGACAGAAACGGCAACAAGGTCAACATCAAGGAGTTCAGCAAGTGCGGGTTTCAACCTATCTTCAACTACTACGACGCACAGCGCATGGAGAAGAAGGCCCTTTCAGCTGCCGAAAAGAGACAGCTAAAGGCGGACAAAGATGCTGCTGAAGCACCGTACATGTATTGTATGTGGGACAACCGCAAGCAAAAAGTCGGGAACTTTCGTGTGGAGCCTCCCGGTCTCTTTCGGGGTCGCGGCGACCATCCAAAGACAGGCAGAGTCAAGAAGAGGGTGGAGCCTGAACAAATCACCATCAATATCGGCAAAGAAGCTACAGTGCCTGCGCCACCCGAAGGCTACAGTTGGAAAGAGATCAAGCATGATCAAGAAGGCACCTGGCTAGCGATGTGGCAAGAGAATATCAACGCTGCCTACAAGTATGTCATGCTTGCTGCCAATTCTGATGTTAAGGGTCAAAGCGACTTTAAGAAATTTGAGAAGGCACGAGAGCTCAAGGTACGTGGTCGGTTAATGACGGATCTGAGCGTGGAGCTGATTGTTTAGAAACATATTGATCATATACGCAAAGACTACACTGCCGAGTTGAAAGACAAAGTCATGGCGAACCGTCAACGAGCAACAGCAGTGTATCTAATCGACCAATTTGCACTACGTGCTGGCAATGAGAAAGGCGAGGATGAGGCAGATACGGTCGGTTGCTGTTCGCTGAAATTCGAACACGTTACTCTCAAGCCTCCGAATAAGGTCATCTTCGACTTTCTCGGTAAAGACAGCATTCGCTTCTACGACGAGGTAGAAGTCGACGCCCAAGTTTTCAAGAATCTAAAGATCTTCAAGAGTTCTCCCAAGACGGACGGTGACGAAATTTTCGATCGCCTCACGGTGCGTAATCCCAATTGGTTGCTTGGTTCTGTGCTAATGATTACAGACCAGTGCACTTAACAAGCATCTCTCCAATTACATGTCTGGATTGACCGCCAAAGTGTTCCGTACTTACAACGCGTCCTTCACCATGTCGAAGTTGCTTCAAAACATGAAGTCGACTGGTAGCATTGCGGAGAAGATTGTCGATTACAACGAGGCAAATCGCAAGGTAGCTATCCTTTGCAATCACAAGCGTACTGTTGCCGCAGGACATGAGTCGCAGATGGAGAAGCTTGGCGACCGTATCAAAGGCCTCAAGTACCAGAAGTGGCGAATGAAGCAGATGATGCTTAACATCGATCCCAAAATCAAGAAAAAGAAGGAAAAGGAAGAAGGGGATGGGTACTTCCAGCTTGACGACGAATTGGAGGAGACCTGGATACACGAGCACCAGAATTTCCTGGTTGAGGAAGAGCGCCAAAAGATTGAGAAGAAGTTCAAGAAGGAGAACGAGAAGCTGACAGCTGACGGCGGAAAGGAAATGAAGCATAAGGAGCTTGAAGAACGACTTGAAGATGCTGATGAATTGGCTAAGAAGTTCAAGAAGGAGAACAAGACTGGCAAGGTGGAGGCCGAAGGCAAGGGACCCACCGTGGAGAAATGCGAGGGTAATTTGGCAAAGCTCGACCAACGCGTCAACAACATGCTCTTCCAGGCCAAGGACAAGGAAAATAACAAAGAGGTTGCCCTCGGAACCTCTAAGATTGTGAGTGCTTCCTTAGTTTCATGATTCGGGTAGTGCTTACAAATTCTCGCAGAATTACA